TGTTTATGAGTTGCAGTCTCCCACCAGTCTTTCCTATCTGAACAAGCCAAGTATGAAATATTTACTTGCTAAGTAAATTTACTTTTAGTCACATGCCTATTTACTTGCTATGACAGTTTTTCTTTTGCCTGCAGTAAGGATAACAACAAAATAATTGTTGCTGCATGTGACCATAAAATAGCAATACATTGGAATATTTATTTTGTGCTTTCTTTCAGGACAAAGCATCCAGTGAGACCATTTTACACTAAATAATAAAAGAGTTATGATCTGTGGTTCAAATCTGAAAGGTTTTAGTTTTCAGGTTTGTCTCTAGTTTTTGTGAATTGAAATCTGCAAGGTTTTATTTTCTAAGAGCAGATCGGTGAGCAGAGTTTGGCAAGAACTATCCCTGGAAAATCACAAATGCAGGCTGTCTGAGAAGCAATCAGCAGTAAGCACTGTTAAAACTACGTGGACAACCAAAAAGAGCAGACCTTAATTTTCTTGCCCCTTGTATATTTCTAACATACCTTTGCAACCATTGGCTCACATGGTAACTCTGGCACGGAACAATCCTTGTTGACTTGACTAGAATTCTGGGTATGTGCCCCCCTGCATATTTGTAACCTTAGAATTTAAGACATTCGAATGTACTTACATGGTATATTGTAGCTTAGAAATTAGAAATAAGGGTTGTGCTCCCTTCTAATTCCTGTAGCTGCATCTCATAGCTACAATAATGTAGAATCACAAACAAGCAGGGTGAAGAAAGGTTAGTGTTACCTGAACAGATTTTTCTAGAGAGTACGCATTATCATTGTCGATCTCAATACCATCATCGCTACATGTGCCATGGGTACCGTCATCACTACAGTCTTGCTCAGTATAAGTCTGACCATCCATTTTAGTATCAACAACCTACAGAAAAATGAAAAAAACATACGCTTAGTTACAAGATATGAATAAACTCATTCCTAAGAGAGAGAGACATAGACAGGGACCCCATGGAGGCTTACTTCATCATGTAGAGCTCTTTCCATTCTTTTTAGCAAATCATCATCTGGGTACTTTTGTGACACAAAAGCAAGCCAAAGTTTCATAGCACCACTCATGCATTGCATCTTATTGTCCATTGTATTCACTTTGTCACGGTACCTTCTTTCTTCTTCAGTTTTAGTAACAAGAGTAATACCTTTAGAAACTTGCACTTGACTCCAGTACTTATCATCGTAGTACCCACGTGCTTTTAATTGTTTAGCAACAATCTCGTTGAACACCTCATTAAAATCATTAGCTGAAAGATTACCATTGTTCTGCTCTTTTCTTTTTTCTAATTCCTCAAATGATGCATCCTATCGAAATAAGCATATAGCAAGGTCACATAATCATAACAATAACTCCAAATCTAATCCACAAGTAGCAGAAAAATATACCATTACTAATTTCACTTTGTTGGTGCTGTATCTCCCACTCTTTTTCTTATGAGCAGCGTCCCATAATTCTATCCTATGAACCTTTCCTTTCCTTCGATCTTCCTGCACAAGATATTAAAATTGAGAATCCAATCAATTCTATTACATGATCATTGAATTTTACACATAACAACAGTTAGAATATATATCACCATCTCTTTCTTCAGTCTAGCATGGCTTTTCCTCCCCGTTGTGTGCGTATTCTTCTGTTCTTTTGCACACCGAGAGTTTGTTGCACACAATTTCTGTAAACATAGCAAAATTGTAAAGCACAAATGTTACATTACTTTCTTTCAAATTTCTTGTAAATGTTAGATAAAAAGATATCACCTTATGTGCTTCTTGACACCAAAAGCTAACAAGAGGTCTCCACTGATGTTCATTAACAGTTATTGGTCTACCTTGTATAATTTGTTCTAGAGATCTCTGTTCAGGATTGAAATGTTCTTTCTTCAACTTAGATTTGTAGGCTCGCCACCTATTGTTTACAGTTCTTAAGATCCAATCTCTTGTAAGCTGTAGCGTTTGTCTAGGAAAGACAAATTTTGACTGTACAAAGAAAAAGTAAATAGTTGATGATTGGAACAAACAATAGTGTACTTTTCTAGCATTGTACAGATTACATTTACCTCAACATCCATGATTATTAGTTCCTTGTGTTTATTGAATAGAACATTGTCCCATCTTTGAATGTGTAATGGTGCAAATGTTTGTGTTTGTGCTAGATCACCAAGGTGTTGTCCAAGAACAGAGGCTGACCTTTCATTTGGTACACCATTTTCATCGGTCCCTACAATTACCTTTCCTCCTTTTAGTTTTGATAAGTCTGAGACTCCAAAATCTCCTAAAACTTGTCGCACCTGTCCATTAGGCCCTACATGTATGAAATTATATTATTTGACATTGTATTTAGATGTGTCACCAAAACAAAAATCAAACTTACATATTATCTTGATTGGACTTGCACGTTGGTTTGGCATGTGGGCTAATATATTGTAAACATCTGGAGGACCTTGTAAATTCTCCTCAATCTCATTATTTACCAAATCATCAGGCTCCTGTTGCTCATGTCTTTCATCTTGTGCTTCAAGGTGCAAGTTTCTTAATCATCGAGGTCCTCTTGCCATGATTTCTACTGCAAAAGAGCAGTTTTAGTTTGCTGCTCAACAAACAGATAACCAAGAAAAGTTTCAACGCTGATCGTAAATCACATAGTGCACTCATAAGATGTCGCACGGAACCAACACAGTGAGAACCATACATACAGAGGGGGAAATGAAGAACATGAATCTTTCTGACAGGAAAAAGAGAGATGGATAAGTATAAATTTGTAGCGCTGACTACGCTCTAGTAATCTACACAATGGGATCATTAGATTTTCACAGAGTGACAAAACCGAATAAAGAGAAGTCATAGAGCCAAATAATTACTCCATACAAAATCCAGGAGTCAAATAACTACTCCATACAAATTCGGAGAAATCGTAGAGCCAAATAATTACATATAGTTAATAGATGTTTCATGGAGTAAATTTAGATCAATTTTATACAAAATCGTTTAACACTAAAATACAAACAGAATCATAAACAATGTTATATGTTTTCATATAAGAAATAAAATTGTCTTTTTTATAAGAATTGTTCAGAGCTCATAACTGAGGTTGAGTCCTATGTTCATGAAAGAAATTCTACTAAATTCACATGTACATGTTTCGATCTATCATAAATAAATGTGTTCTAGACAAAAAGGACATGGATCAAAATATGCATACGGCAACTATTTAAGATGTGAAAATCAGAGAATCTGCAGTACTTTATTTTAGAGAGAAAATCTAATACTGCAGCAGGAAGCAGGCAGTAGGGGCACCAGGCACCGCGGGGGTGGGACGGTCGGCCGTGCCCAGGCTGCCGGTCGGGGTACAAATGCGCGTTCGCAGAGGCTGGACTGCCAGAAGCAGAATAACAGAGAGGAGCGGCGGGGACGGCCTGGGCAGCTGGAGCCCTAGCTCTGGCTGTGGCTGCTGGCCGGCCGGTCGCTCGGTCTAGGAGGCGCTGAAGAGTGGAGATCAGGTGAAGGCCAGGAGGGGAGAGGCTCACCGATGGCAGATCAGGACTAGTCGACGACCGGCGGATGGCCTGCGCGTCTGAGGAGCGGCCAGGCCTTGGGCAGTTGATGCGTCGATGTCGAGGAATTTGGGGTGCGGGTGTGCCGCACTGACGCGTGCTGCGGTCTCGCAAATGTGGAGACGGGAAGGAGTGGGGGAGGTTAATAGATGCGTTTTTTCCGTAATCTCACGCCGTGGGGGTGATTTAGGCGCGAAATTAAAATGTTCGAGCCCTCCACTACACGGCAAGTTTTTGCAATTGTACACTACAAAATAGGCGGCAAGACAAAATACGTTCATACCAAATTCCGATTGTAATTATCTTGTATATATATATATGTTAATGAATATCTATGAACTTTTCCAAATCGGATCTTTTGCTGGTTTCATGTTTTTGGAATATTGTTTGTATATATGTTAACGAATATATGTGGAAGTACCACCAAATTTGTTTTAATCTCCAACAATATTCATATTGTTTTGAAATAATTTTAAAAAAAATAGCAAAATTTTTTTCAAGAAAATATGTTTTTTTAGAAAGGCGGCAAGAGATTTGCCTGATTTTTATTAGACGAGCAAAAAGGAACAAGAAAAAAGAATTACAACAAACAACGGGAGGCCAAGCTCACCGCCACCACAGCACACCGGCCAACAACCCTACTAAATACCCACCTGAACGACAACTTAAAGTCTAGAAAAACAGCCTGAAGTCGAAAAAACGCAAAACTAGACCAACCGAACAGTGACCAACAAATACTAGAACTACTTCTGTTGTGGTCCATCATGAAATCTTGTTGCCAACTGGTATTGCTCTATATCTTCCTTGCAAAGGAGTGCCACCTGACTAGGCTGCAGCGACTTGTTCTGAAATATTCTTCGATTTCTTTCCTTCCATAAATTCCACCAAAAATAGATCATAATACCATCAAACGCCTTTCTCTGATCTTTGTCTGTCTTAATTCTGCACTTTCGCCAGTATTTGTGCAGAGATCTTGTCATTCCGACATTATCAATCACCGATAGGCTGAACCATCGCTTGATGAAGGACCAAACTTGCCTTGAGAAAGTGCAGTCCTTGCAAAGATGTGTCGGTGTTTTCGGGTCAATACCACAAAGCTTGCATACTGGATCATTTGGCCAATTTCTTTTAATCAAATTGTTTGCCGTTAGGATTTTTTTATGCAGCAAAGTCCAAGCAAAAAATCTACATTTGGGTTCCGCCTTTGCTTTCCAAATCGGTTGAAGTTTCAGTTTGCTGAATGTGCCCTGGAATTAAATACAATAGGCGCTTTTGGCTGTGTATTCCCCAGGCATAACAGCCCCGAAGAAGCCACACAGGGCTTTACTAATACGACGAAACCTACGATACATAGGGCGTATCACCCTAAACCCCTTGCCTGAAGGGGTTAACATTGATTACTTGATCCCCTCATGACCAGCGCCTAAGCCTCCATGGCCGGAGCCACGGCAGCCTTCTTCTGGATGGCGCTTGTCTTCTGCTTCTTGGCTTCCTGCTCAATGAGCATCTTGATGGCCTCCATGGGTTTCGAAATTGTATCTAAGAACCTGTCAATCAGTGTAAAGTTGTTTTCAGAGTTGTTATTGTTTAACTCTCGGCTAGACTGATCATCAATGGAAACAGATTGATTGACATAATCTTGCTGGATGTGCGCAGATGTGGGCTCAGGTGGCACAGGTATTGTATACGTGTTATGACTAGTCTGAGCAACTGTGGATGTCTCTGGTGACAGAGCTTGGCTTTCAACTGACATAATAGGCGGATCTAAACTACTCTGTGCTTGCAAGGAAACTGTAAGTTCGGGCAGTTGTACAGTAGGAGAGCTCACCACCATGCCGTGAAGCTGATCCGCCTGCAGACCCACTAGTTCTTCGGGCGCGCCCATGCGCGCGGGCCACTGGCCACACATATTTTTTGGGAAAAAAAAGATATAATCAAGGGAGGCTTGTATTTCGATTTGAGAAAAATCTGAGAAGGTTTTCGAAAAAATCGCTGAGAGTGTCTCTGGAGTGCGGGTTGATTTTTGATAAAAGGAAGGGTTTTTTTGCAAAAAATCCGGAGCTCATCCGTTCTGGACTGCGGGTTGATTTGAAAATTATCTGAGGTGTTATTTGCAAAATATTCTGAGAGGGCCTCTGGAGCATGGGTTGATTTCCCAAAAACATAAGGAGTTTTTCGTAAAATGACCGCGCCTCATCCGATCTGGGCCGTCGATGCAGCCGATCGAACGGCCGGCGACGTGGCGCGCCGTGTGGGCAGCCTGGCCACACGCTTTCTTGTCTTTAGATGCACAGGTTGGTGATGACGTGCTGCACCACTTGCTCCTTCTCCACTGCTGCCTGATTTGGAATTATGTCGTGATTTAATCTTATAAAATTCGTACGATCTATGGTTGGAATTATTTGAATTTTATATGGTCTTTTAAATTAAAAAACCTTAGCCAATTAAAAAACAAAATTATTCTTAGGCGAGCCCAATAAGCACAATGGTTGAGCCTATCGGTGCAAGATCTTGCATCGACTCATGTCTCTCTCCTAGTCCGAGTCTGTGTACCCCACCTCCTTCCGACGATGGCTTGAGGACACCGACGCCGACTGTCCGTACGTGTTCGAGACTCCAAGCTGACGACCGAGTGCCGAGCGACCGTCGACCAAGCAAAAAAATTTGGACCCACCACTAGAGCAGTAGCTCATGCTCAGATTCAATGGCGGGTCAAACACGTAGGCCAGATAGACGCAAGACTATCATGAAATTTGCACAAAAATCTACTACTACTTATCATTTTAAGGCCCACGAGTATTGTTTTTTCTCTCAAAATAATTCAAGGTTCACGTCTGAAAGCGTCCTCAACTATGGAAGCATGCTTCTTTTAGCAGAACTACGGAAGCATGCTGGCTGGCCAAATGTTTCACGGGCCGTATCTAATATGGCCCATACGTGCCGGATCCACATATCTAAGTGAATACGTATCCAATATTTTGAGTACGGCCTGGATACGTATCCATGGCTTATCCGAGGCCTATCTGTATCCGTGGCGTGCGTGTCGGATACGGGATATCCGCGCATCACAGCCCATGCCCCGTCGGTCGACCCCGGACTCCCCGAGCCCCTCGATCGGCGCCGCTTCTTTCCTTCTTGATCTGGTACAAGGAGCGTGGTGAGCACCAGAGAGGCGGCGGGTCGGCTTTGCGGTAGCTCCCTCCCCTGCACCCTGCACCCTGCGCACCTGTGCCTGTGCCTCTGCCTCTGCCTGCCGGACGACAGAAGACGCCGGTAGCCTTCGGCCATCGGCCCGTCGCATCTCGCGGCCTGTGGGGGATATACCCCCGGTACCACAAGATGGTACATGGGCCGCACCATCCGAGGTGGCCCGGCCCACAAGATTGAGGCGTGCACAATAAGATTATAAGTTGTACTAGATATTGTAATAGTACCAAATAGGATACTTTACTTGTACCCTCCTCCTCCAGACTATATAAGGAGAGGCAGGGGTCCCCTCAGAGAGGACAACATATCTCACCCTAGATCAATACAAATAATAGAGCACAGGATCTAGGGTTTTACGCCACACTGGCGGCCTGAACCTATATAAATCTTGTGTCTTGTGTCTCTGTAACCATCCGGTAAGTGTCTTGCGCACCGTCTACCGACAATCTACCATCATGGGCATACCCCTAGATGGACTGTCGACCATATTTCATCGACAGTGGCGCGCCAGGTAGGGAGTGTGCGTACTGCTCTCCAAGCAAACAAGACGGTCATCACCTCCGGCTCCATGGCTACGCTGAACGGCCTCACGTTCACCGTCGGCGATCACCTGGACCACCGGCTCCGACGGCTTCATCGTCATGACCACGGGAGGAGCGTGGATTCGATCTGCCACCAACCAACTTTGCTTCACCTACATCGGCTACGGCTCTGACCACGATGGATCTAGCTCCGACCACGGTACGTCTGGCTCCGACCACGATGGATCGGGCTTCGACCACGGTACGTCTGGCTCCGACCACGGTACATCTAGCTCCGACCACGCCTACATCATCTTCAGCCACGGCGACGACTCGTCGTCCGCTTCCCCGCTACAAAGGGAAGCAGATCGACAACACCGACCTGCTCAACTCCATCGATCGGGTCGGCACCAAACTCGCTGAAACCCTAGCTCTGGTAAGTACGATTCAAAGTCAACCTAACGAGCAGGTAACCGCTCCCCACAACAGATCTACCCGACCAGCTCGGACCAGTCGTCCTGCACGACTTGGTACAGATCTCGTGGTCTTATCTACTCCTGAAGGGCGCTCCGCTCATCGCCGGCCAGCCTCCGCGACGGGTCTCCGGCTCTCCGAGTACGTAGCCTCGACGGAGAACCACCAGGTCCAGCCTTACGGCCTACGAAACGCTGCCTCCAGCTACGCGTATAACCCACAACGCTGCTTGGATCTATGTTTTATGCACCGACCTCGGCCGAAGCCGCGCGACTTCGTCAACATGATCCGGACTGAAGATTATCAGGAAGGATCCGTCCACACAGTTCAAGAGGGCGACTCCACCTCCTCGTCTGGCATCGCATCTAAAGCATCTGTACACACCGACGAAGCTTCACCAGATCACGAAGCCGACGACGACACCATCTTTCCCGCCAAGACGATCTTTGATCCATGCCGGACCACGCTTGGCGTGGTTTTCACAATTCCCATCTTTCCCGCCAAGACGAGGCGATTTGATCCATGTTGTCGGACAATGGTCGACTCCACCACGTAGCGGCCATGGCAACAATGCAACGGCTACCCAACAAGAAAACCCAAGCCGCGCGAAAATGCGCAATATTCACCGGGCTTCAATCGCCGGCAAATCGAAACCCACGCCGCGCAAGCGGACAACCATCGGCGCGCGGTGCCATCGGTGGCCGTCGGAGGACAACCGTCGCGACCTCAACGATGCTTTCGCGATAACCCCGTGGGGACAAACAGGTCTTCGGACTCTCAAGTCGAAGGCTAATCCAGAAGAAGTCGTGGGACAGAAGCCTGGGACAGCCCGAGATCAATTAATTTCGAAGCCGCCGCCCAGGACGAGGCGTACACATCCAGCATGTAGCCGAAGGGCGCCATGGCAACAATGCAACGATCTCTACCCCGGCACCCGGAAACCCAAGCGGTTCGCGATGAAATATCAAGCCTATCCCAAGAATCCGGTCTCGATGCACCTGCCATGGCCTGCACCGCCATGAAGAAGAAGAGTGTAAATCAAAGTCCGGGCTCCATCCGTCCGTCGAGTCAAGCCACGTCGCCAGCTTCCAAGCCATCCGCCGCCAGTCAAGCCAAGCCGCTTCCACCGCCACAGCCACTCAACCCACGTGGCTCGCGCAACAACGACCCGTCAGACAACCATCGAGGCGGAAACGGTGGCCATGACGGTGGTAACCGCCGTCGGGAGGACAACCGTCGTGATATCCGGGACGATAATCACCAAGACAACCACGACAATCGTCGCGATAACCGCGGTCGCAGGGCTAATCCAGAAGAAGCCTGGGACAGCCCGATAGATCGGACTTGGCCGTGACACACTTCGAAGCCGTCGCCCAGGACGAGGCGTACACATCCAGCATGCCTTCGTGAAGGGCCACGCGATCCGGATTTTGATATATCTACATCTGCATGCACGCATGCATGTAGAATTCATCTACATCTTGATCTCAATACAAGTGTCGATCTCGTCGCCGGCATCCTGCGGCAACCCGGCGTTAGAGGACCCCGTCGTCTACACGTCGCTTGCCGATGCCATCGGCGGTTCCCAAGAATCCGGTCTCGATGCACCTGCCATGCACGTCTAGCCATGAAGAAGGAAAGAGTACTATATTAAAGGCATGAAAGCTAATTAAGGCTGGTACGCGTATATGCATATACGTACACCTTAAGCAGGCAAGCACGATTTCCCTTGCTTGTTGCCGACGTATATCCTCTTGATCCGACGTCGACGCAGCCAAGACCTGCAGCATCGGACTCGGGAGCCTTCGCCCATGCTCTGTTCCCACGTCGCAATGAAGATCGACTCCGACCACCCGCCGTGACAACCGCGACCGCCGCTACGACGATCGGCAGGAAAGTTCGAGGATTGGGCAATTCCGTCGTCGCCGATCAGAAAACATCATCGCCTCGGTCGATCAACTGTGCGCTAAGCGCAACTACAACAAGTACTACGAGAAGCTCCTCGCCGACCACACCCCACCGACTCACCACCGAGCTCCGACCACGTCGACCACGTCCCGAGCGGCTCCGCTGAGCTCCGACCACGTCGACCACGGACCACGTCTTGAGCGGCTCCGCTGAGCTCCGACCACCTCGACCACCAGACCACGTCGCAATAATGATCGCCGCAAAGAACGGCGCAACGACAATCGCGACCACCGTCATGACGACAGACCGGAAAGCTCGAGGACTGGACAACTTCATCGCCAACGACACGTCAAGCCATCTCTCGAACATCGCAACACACCGACTACACCCACCGGTCGTCAATAAAGCTAAGTATTATTTTTAATTGAAAATTTCTTCGATCATCATACACCTCCGCCGACCACCCTTAGGGTGCGCTCGCGTCGAATTTTCTCCATACATACAATCCAAAACATGTATAAGTTTTTACAATGGTTCGCCGATACGTTTTCCTTCCTGCTTGAGAATCCCAGAGCCGGCACTGTCTCCGGCTCCACCCCACGCGTGCATGAGAGTCCGCCCTCTGCGCTACGGGTAGTCGGCAGTCGCTCCTTGGTAACACTGGCACTCTACGCGCGGCAGCGTTCCGTACCTCGCGCTACGAGATGTTGGTTAGCCCAGGGCTGGCGCATTCTCCAGGATAGGTTAATACATCGCGCTACGTCGCTACATAACAAAAAGGGCTAAAAACAGCTAATGTTATTTTTCGAATATTACACCAAGTATAATTCATCGCCAACCGAACACCAAGTGTTTACTTCACCTCCTACAGAGAGGTCAATATATTTCGTACATCATCATGTACTACCGCTTTCCGTGGTTATTTTTCAGGAACACAGTTCGGTCAGCGAGCTCATGCTTCAGGGTTCGCCAAGACCACTACGGTGCTCGAGGACTCTGGCCAGACCACGTTTGTGCTCGGGGACTCTGGCCAGACCACCCTTGTGCTCGGGGACTCGCCAGACCACTCCGTGCTCTGGGACCCTCGGGGACTTGCAAGACCACTCCGTGCTCTGGGACTTCTAGCAAGACCACTCCGTGCTCGGGGACTGCCTCGATCACTCTCCGACCACGGCTCGGGGACTTCGTCGGTCGCTCCTCGACCTGTGCTCGGGGACTGCCTCGATCACTCTCCGACCACAGCTTTGGGACTTCGTCGCTCGTTTCTCGACCTACGCACGGGGACTGCCTCGACCACTCTCCGACCATGGCTCGGGGACTTTGCGTCTCGACTACATGCGACTGGCGACTCGCATACAGTTGGGATATTTTTTCTCACTTAGACCTTGCTACAAGGCTCATACCTCGCCTTCCAGCAAGCTCGGGGACTACATCGGTATGATGCACCTGCCGGTGCATCTCGTATCGCCTATACGACGATTGGATTCTCAACTTAACTGGGAATTCTTTTTAGACCCTGGCACCACGTGCCTACGTCACCTACTACCAGGCTCGGGGACTAAGTGGGCACACTTCACCTTGCGGTGAATGTGTTTGTTTTTCGACCCCTACGCCTCTGATGATCAAGGACGCTACGTTTCAAGACGCACTTACATTTCTTTTCAGAAATACAAGTGGGCACACTTCACAGGACGAAAATCTTTTTCTTTTTTCTTAAGAGCACCATATATTCTTCGGACAACCTACTTCTCCGGCGACAACGGTGGTCGGAGATGTCAAGAACTCAAGCCTCACTGTTCGGAGAAGGTTGAAACGGCGTGTTGCATCAGAATACATGGCGCTCGGGGACTAGCTGTGGGGGATATACCCCGGGTACCACAAGATGGTACATGGGCCGCACCATCCGAGGTGGCCCGGCCCGTAAGATTGAGGCGTGCACAATAAGATTACAAGTTGTACTAGATATTGTAATAGTACCAAATAGGATACTTTACTTGTACCCTCCTCCTCCAGACTATATAAGGAGAGGCAGGGGTCCCCTCAGAGAGGACAACAGATCTCACCCCAGATCAATACAAATAATAGAGCACAGGATGTAGGGTTTTACGCCACACTGGCGGCCTGAACCTGTATAAATCTTGTGTCTTGTGTCTCTGTAACCATCCGGTTCGTGTCTTGCGCACCGTCTACCGACAATCTACCATCATGGGCATACCCCTAGATGGACTGCCGACCATATTTCGTCGACACGGCCATCTGGTGAGTGATGAATATGTGTGTCTGTTACTCTGTTTACTTAGTAGATACATGTGCTCGAATTAAAACTGGTGATAAAATTATTTGTGAATTTGGGGAATATGTGTCTGTGAAGCAAATTGAATTTGGAAGGCAAAAGAAGATGCAATCTAAATAGCTCAAATTATATACCGTCGGGTCACATTGAATTAACCATGAAACTGAGCCTTCTTAACACAGGGTAATCAAACCTGCTAATATTCCATTGCACAAAATGGCTGTAGCTTAACTCCATCTTATGCTGCACAGTGTTTATAGAAATTTTTTGCATATAGCTGTACAGAAGTCAATATTCCATTATATACAAGTAACAGTGGCAAAAGGTCTGTACTGGAATTATGTCGACAAGGGAAAAAATCATTGAGAAAATATGGACTACTAAAGAAAATATGCAATACAAAATCTGGGTGCTGCATTGCAGAAGTCTGTAGATCAACAGAATATTATTTGATGGTTATTGCTAAGCTGAATGAATCAAATAAGAAAGACAAGAAGGGGGAAAGCAGTCCTGGCTTGCACCCCCACCTGATTACTATAAGATTAATTGTAGTGATGCCTCCTCCTTATGCTATGATTCCATGAAAGGAGCAGGGGATTCCATTGCCCGTAACTGCAGCAGAGAGAGTTCTGGAAACTTGCAATTGCAGACTCTCTACATGACTTTCTTTTTTTCTAAAGTGGAATAATTGCAAACTCTCAAAACTCATATTGTATGGTTTAATTCACTACTGATATTAATCTGCCTCAGATATGCTTTCTTTTTACTAAATGTCTAAACTTTGTATATATTTATGCCTTGTGTTAATGTGAAATTGTGTCATCGTTTTCATTTAGTCATGGTTGAGCAAGTTGGACTCGATCATGGTTAGTTTGAGTACTCAAATTAAGGAAGTTAGTTCATCTACCATAGAAACTAATAATCTTAATTTATTTTGTTGCTGCCAGTCAAGTACTATTTTTCGGACTCAAACATGTCTTGCAAAAGAAAAAAACTGATTGATTTCATTTCATTCTTACTCCTTGTTAGAGGGTCATGGATCGAAGTTGGATGAGTAAGCCAAGACAGGATACTGCATATCAAGATGGTGTTGAGCAATTTTTGACTTTCGCTTACTGGGACATTCCACGTGATAGCGAGATACTTTGTCCTTGCAAAAAATGCAAAAACAGATTAAACCATAGCCATGATGAAGTCAGGACACATTTGAGATGTGATGGTATTATTCAAGGTTATACGACCTGGGTTCATCATGGAGAGATGTATGAAAGTCCACAATTTGCATTTGTTGACGTGCCAACTGACACTACAAACTTGCCTACTTCGGGTGTCTCAAGGGCTCCTGCAGTACAAGATGGCATGCAAGAGCTACTTCAAGCTGCCTTTTTCAGGAATGAAATGTTTGAGTCACTACCAAGTATGTCTGAAGGTGTAGTAGATGTTGAATCAGGATTTGCAGATATGGAACAAACTGTAGCTGAGGATGTGCATCCTGCAGATGACAATGCTAAGGAGAGTGAACAGAATCTATATGAAAGATACTTGAAGGATGCACACACAAGTTTATATCCTGGGTGTAAATTTTCTAAGTTGTCATTTTTGGTAAACTTATATCACTTAAAATGCTTAAATGGCTGGACACAAGAATCATTTACAAGACTTCTAGGTGTGCTATCTGATTCATATCCTCCTCATGTAGACCTACCTAAGACATATTATCAAGTGAAGAGAATCATCGGTGCTTTAGGCCTTGACTATGTGAAAATACATGCTTGCCCCAAAGATTGCATGCTTTTCCGAGGAAGTTCAGCTAAGAAAGATTTTTGTGATGTGTGCCAGAGCTCTCGCTGGAAAGATTTTAAGAAGAATGGTTCTACAGTTAGACCTAAGAAGAAAAAGAAACCAGCGAAAGTGTTGCGCTATTTTCCATTGATACCGAGGCTCCAAAGGTTATTTTCAACTACCAAAACTTCAGAAGACATGAGATGGCATGAGGACGGATGCACAAAAGACGGAAAAATGCGACATCCAGCGGATGGTGAAGCTTGGGAAGATTTTAATCGTAGATATCCTAAATTTGCAGCAGATGCTCGTAATGTACGCCTTGGTCTTGCAAGTGATGGATTTAACCCTTTTGGGAATATGAGTTCAAAGCACAGTACATGGCCTGTAATGCTGGTTCCTTACAACTTGCCACCTTGGATCTGCATGAAGCAAACATCCTTACTGTTGTCAATGATCATTCCTGGACCGGATTCTCCGGGGAATGATGTTGATATATACTTACAGCCCTTGATCAATGAGCTCTTAGAATTATGGAAAGGAGTGCAAACATGTGATGCCTCTTCTCGAAAGAAATTTCCTCTGCGAGCTGCACTATTGTGGACTATAAATGATTTTCCTGCATTAGCTTACCTATATGGCTGGAGCACAAGTGGTACATATGCATGCCCATCATGTGGTCCAGCAACAAAATCATTTCACATGAAGAATGGTAAAAAGATGTGCTATATGGGACATCGTAGGTGGCTCCCGCAGAACCACATATATCGAAGGCAAAAGAACCAGTTTGATGGCATGGTAGAGGTTGGACTTGCTCCTGAAATAATGAGTGGTACTTCTATTTTAAAAATGTTAGAAGGTAGAGTTTTTGTTTTAGGGAAAAAGGACCTCACAACAAAGAATACAAAGGGAAATAACAAAGGAAAAAAGAAAGGAAAGCAAGGTGATGAAAGCCATCAGAAATCCAAGCGTAAAAGAGGACAAAAGAAACAGAAAGATGGGAACAATGGCAAGAAGGAGAAGAAGCCAGAAGATTGGTTGAAAAAGCGGTCAATATTCTTTCAGTTACCATACTGGGAAAAGAATAAACTAAGGCACAATCTAGATGTGATGCACTTAGAGAAAAATCTATGTGACAACTTAATTGGAACTTTAATGGATATTCCTTCCAAAACAAAGGATGGTCTTAAAGCACGACTGGATTTAGTGGAACTTGGAATTCGACACAATCTTTATCCTGTGGTAGATAATGAAGGAAAGCAAACTGTGCCTGATGCACCTTTTACCATGTCTAGAGAAAAAAAGGAGGTTCTCTGTTCAGTATTCCAAAACCTAAGAACACCTGATGGCTATGCATCAAACATTTCTAGGTGTGTTAACATGAAAGATTGTACATTGACTGGACTAAAAAGTCACGACAATCATGTTTTACTACATGACATCCTTCCAGTGGCACTCCGATCCTGTTACCCCAGCAAAGATGTCATGGAAATAGTTATTGGAATATCTAATTTCTTTAAGAAGTTATGATCGAAGGTGATAGATACTGATGAGCTACAAACCCTTCAAGAGAGTATTGTGGTAACACTCTGTAATATGGAGAAAATTTTTCTACCATCATTTTTTACTGTGACAGTGCACTTGATGGTGCATTTGGTAGAAGAAGTTAGACTTGGTGGCCCCGTTCACTACCGGTGGATGTACCCCATGGAGAGGTATGTAATTACATTTTGCAGGGTTATTGTCAATAATTTGTGTAGGACACGTGGACGCCTAAGAGGGGGGGGGGTGAATTAGGCAACTTAAAAATCTAACTCTAAACTATGGCCTCTTTTTCTAACCCTAGCAAAACCTATGTAATAGACAAGCTATCTAGATGTGCAACTATGGTTTTGCTAGTGTGTTGCTATCTCTACCGCAAACGTAGTAAAGTAATCAATGTAAATGCGGAAGCTAAAGAGCAAGGTAGAGATATGCAAACTCCCGTCGACGACTCTGGTATTTTTACCGAGGTATCGAGAAGCGCGCAAGCTTCCCCCTAGTCCTCGTTGGAGCCCCTCGCAAGGAATCCCTCGCAAGGGCCAAGCTCCCGGTCGGGTAACTCCGTGGATAGCCTCGGGTCTTCCCCACGCGCAAGTGGGTCTCCGATGTGCCTCTCGGCAAGCCTCTCCCGGATGCTCCCCGCCGTCTTCACTATCAAGCTTCTGGCCGAAACGCCGCGGGCCTTGTTCCCTCCGGTACATGGTGGCGGCCACACCACAAACACGGTTGGTGTGATCTCACAAGACTTCAAGCCCCTCCGATGTACAACACTTGTGCTCACAAGCACGGGGTGGCAAGAGGTATGCAAACCTCACTTAAACACTAGGCAAACACCTAGAGCAAGCGCATAAGCGGTGGTCTAATCAACCTAAGCACTTCGCAAAGCACTTATGCTAATCACCTAATAAAACACTAAGCACTATGCATGTGGAGATCACTCAAATGGTGTATCAACACTCTTGATATGTTTCCTCAGCTCCACACATCTCAAATGGCCGGTTGGGGGTTGTATTTATAAGCCCCACTGAGAAAGTAGCCGTTGGGGTCGAACTCCCGCGAAACTGCTACTGACCGGACGCTGAATCGTCCTGACCGAACGCGTCCGGTCGTCCCGACCGTTGTAGCCGCGAACTACCGATCGGACGCTGCCAGCGCCCGGTCGCCTGCCACCGGACACGTCCGGTCGCAGTTTCACGCGCCTGGAACCTCTCTGTACTCGATCGGACGCTGCGTTCCTGCGTCCGGTCGGTTGCCGCCAGCGTCCGGTCCTTGCGTCCGGTCGCCTGTCTGCCGAGCCACCGGTCCAGCGTCCCGGTCGCGCTTCCAGCGTCCGGTCGCCTCTGCGAGCTCGTTTCTTCGCGATCTTGCGCACGGCTTAGTTCCTATCTTCATGCTTGGACTTTGCTTGACATTTTGGGTCTTTTCTTGTGCTTCTAAGGTCTTGTTTGAGGTGTTGATCATCAGATCATCATGTCGCCTTCGTCCAAGTCACGTCTTGCACCCTATTGGACTACAAAACAAACACTTGCAAATTCATTAGTCCAATTTGGTTGTGTTGGTCATCAAACACCAAAATCCAAAGTAAATGGGACAAGGGTCCATTTTCCTTACAATTTGTTCAACTAACAACAAGTGTTCATGATTTCATTTAGATTTTTTGTTCGGCTTAAAGCGCTTGTGAAGAACAGAGCTCAGCCAGAAGGTTCGATTGCTGAAGGGTATTGCATGGAGGAGTGCATGACATTTTGTTCCAGATTTCTTGATGGAGATACTCGTTTTAACAGACCGGCTAGAAATCCCGAACCTTCAGGCAATATGAAAGATATGTACATGTTTGAGAGTGCTGGAGAACCAATTGGAAAAGCTACTGTAAGCCATTTTGATAGCCAGCTTCTTATTCAGGCACATCGATACGTGTTGCGACACTGTGATGAACTTGAAGAATTCCGCAAGTGTGTACTATAATTTCTCTTGACTCTATTTTAAATTTTTATTATGTTGAAGCCATCACTGTATAACAAATAATCCATTGTTGTAGAGAGTTTGTGGATGAGGAGAAAGGAAAATCGTGTCCTTCCACTACTTTGACTCTGGCTTCCATCGATAAGTTGATAGACCAGCACTTCCCTGACTGGTTGGAACAGAAGGTAGTACAACTGAAATAGCTTATTAGGCGAGGAGTCTAATAGCATGAATTGATCTAATAATTAATTTCTTCACTACAGGTTATCCTAGGTGATGGACTAGGAATCACTAAAAAAGTTTGAGCTTTGGCTGCCAAACCGAGCAGACATGGTGTGAGATACAACGGCTATATTATTAATGGTTTTAGATTCCACACACTGAGTCGTGAGGCTGCAAGGTCGACACAAAATAGTGGTGTAGTAAACATTGCAGAAGATGGGGTTAATTATTATGGCAGATTAACAGATATAATAGAACTGACATACACTGACTACAAGGTTGTTCTTTTCAAATGTGATTGGTATGATGTCCATCATCGTGCTGGTTTACGAAACGATGAGTTTGGATTACCACTTGTGAATTTTTCAAAGAAAATACACACTGGGGAAAAACTGGAGCATGATCCCTGTGTCTTTTCTTCACAAGTGGAGCAAGTCTTTTATGTTGAACACCCAAAAGCTGAAGGATGGAATTCTGTGGTAAGATTTAAGCCACGAGATACTTTTGACATGGGTGATGATGAACTGCCACCGGATGAAGCAAATTAGACTAACTGGCTTTCAGGTATTATCAGGCTTTTTTTTAGAGTATGTGGACAATTGAGTGCCACTAATTTTGACATATATAAATATAATAATAATTATTCAGGTTGCACTTATTACAAGGCATATTTGTTTCAGGTTACTCTTGTCTATGCAGGAGGGTGTGTGTTGCTCTGTTTCACCCAGGTGATGGATGTGTTCCTGCATGATGGATCGAAGAGCATCTTAGTTTCTGTAGGCTGCTAGCATGTGTTTTCTTTGTAATATGTTTTTTAAGAAGTTTCATTTACAATTGGTGGTCTAAGTGAGAAATCAATGCCACTCACATGTAATGCTTGAATTATTGAGAAATTGAGTCCAGTAATTTATAGATTGGTCGTATGATTGAGAAATTGAGGTTAGTCATATGATTGAAAAAGCAGCTTGTGTTTTCTTTTGCTTGAATCTTTGAGTGAAAATTATGAAATTGTTGAGCGTGTGAAAATTTTGGAAAAATATGGGGAAAAACATGTATTTTATTTGGCTTGAATTATTGCGAGAAAATTATGGAATGTTGAGTGTGAGAACATTTTTTTATGAATAATATGGAAAAAATACAGGCAAGGAAGTTTTGACCTCTTGACCACGTGTAGAGAATTAGGGAAAGGTTACCACAACACTACATGTTCAAAAAAAGCATTTTTAGATAGTTATTGACGGTAAGCTGATACACTTTATCACGTATCTACGAGCATGTAACGGTCAAATAGAGTCTCTAATTTTGTGTTAGCTTGATATGTTTTTATTATCGTATCAAAAGGTGTCTTTACGTGCCTATAAACAATTGTTTGATACGTTCTGTGACGTGTCTAGATGGTACAAACGATATGAAGCATCTCTATATCTGTAACGTTTTGTGGCGTTTTTAGTATCGTGTCAATTAGTGTGTTTAGATATATATGGACGGTGTTATGACACACTTTATAACGTGTCTAGACGCTATTGACGATTAAAAGCATGCCTAACACCGTGTCATTTTGATACATTTCCAAAATCATCTCGAGAAGTGTCTTTACATGTCTTGTAACGGTGAAAGCATGTCAAATGTCGTATCCAGTTGACCTCATTTCCAAAGTCGTGCTTAGAAGCGTCGTTACGTGCCCATGTACATACGCTTTCAACCAGCGTCACAAAGAAAACGTGTCTAGAGGGGGGTGTTTCTTGTAGTAAAAGCACTCTATTCGGATCTACGGTGAATAAGAAACATCTACCGAAAAACATTTTATAGAGAAAAAAGGGAAACCATAGACTTTGTTTATTTTAATAATCATATAAAACATGTATAAGATACTTCAGAGAAATATCTAGGTTGTATCAAGTCAATTTATATTTGAACTAGAAAACTAAAGTAAAATTAATCATATTTTATTTATAAATCAAGTTGTATAATCATTATTCAAGTTAGGATTTAAAATATGAAATTACAGATTAAGTTACATGGTAAATATTGTTATTAACGCGTAGATTACATTGTTGTGAATCTAACGCAACTTGAACAGATCAAATCGGAGCTAAACCGGAGATTTTATGCTTAAAACAAACTCAGTGGGAAAACTTTAATTAACTGGATTTTAATTCAAATTAAAATAAATCAAAAATTGGGATTTTGAATCTGGCTTAGGACTACGGGTTCAAAATCTGAAAAAGGGAGGGACTCTTTATCAAAGGTGCTAGCTAAAACAGTATCGGGCGATCTCGGCCGCTAGATCGAACCTAGACGATCCAGATTAGAAGGGAGGGGGAGAGAGTTACCGGCGGCGAGTGGGTGGAGGCGGTTAGTCCTCGCCGGAGTTCGTCGATTTCGACGTTTTGGGCATCATCGGCCATGGGGAGAGCACGGAGAGAAAGAGGAGAGTGAGGCGAACTCAAAGTGGGGATCTAGGCCTGTTACAATGGCACAAAGGCGGCTCGGGTCGTTGGCTCTGCTCCGGCGAGCTTGTGAAGGCTGCGTAGAGCGAGAGGGAAAGCAAGAGAGGTACCTATCGGTTCCTTACCCTCAGACAAAGCTCAGGAGGGTCTCGCATCGTTGGCGAGTCAGCAGAGCGGCGGACCGAAACGTGGCGGTGGCGCTTAGGGTTTCACGGCTGCTGGCTCGAGGCGAGGCAAGGGCAGCGACAGTGCTAGGGTTATGCGAGGGCGGCGTGGCACCTGGGCCGGGTTTTATAGGGTCTAGGGCGTGGGCGACACACCAAATCCTGGAGGATTCGGGCGCTCAGCAGAGGAAATCGCCCCTAGCAAAGTCCAGGATGGCCACGGGAAGAAGACGACGCCGGCTGACCTGTGCGACCAGGGTGTTAGCGAGAGAGACCGTGGGGTCGGCCTGTTAGTCAGAGGGAGAGAGGAGAAAGGGGGCGCGCCACATGGCTTGGGCCAGAAGGTGAGATGGGCCTTAGGGTGCAGTGCTGGGCCGGCGGAAGAGTCAAGGCGCACTGGGCCTGCATGGTGGGAATGGGGAGGTAGCGGGCTGGGCCAGCAGGCTGAAAGGGAAGAGGGAGAGAGAGGCGAGGGAGCTAGGCCTTTAGGCCAAAACTGAGAAGGGGAGTGTTTTCCTTTTTCTTTTGTTTTTCTTTTATTTCAAAGTTATTTCAAAACCCTTTTTAAAAGCAATTTGAATTATTTTAAATTTTATATAAAGCCACACATTACAACAAATCAGATGCACCAGCATGTATGCTCAACAATGTTGCTACACCCTATGATAAATTTTAATTTAATAAAAATTTATTATTTCCCTATGTTTGATGAGCACAAAAATTTATAATTAAGTCATTTTAGCTCTATTTCAAACGGAGCAGATTTTAGGCTGTTACAAGGAGGACAAATATCCCACTAGAAACAAGTGTCTTACAGGTGGAGTGGTGTAACACCCTAAAATTTGCCTCTTTTGAAAATAGGTTTAAAATGGTTTATTTATGAATTTTGAGCTCATAACAATGTAGGAAATAAATTTTTTCATTAAATTGGAATTCATCATAAGGTAGCAACATGTTTGTGCATACATGCCGGTGCATTTGTTTCTTTGAATTGTGTGGATTTGATTCAAATTGAAAACATTCAAAAAAAAAGATTTTGGAAATAAATTAAAAATGGCTTTGAAGTAAAAGAAAAGAAAATTAGAAAATAAACGAATTTAAAAAAATTGTAAAAATTATTTTTGAAAACTTACTAAAATTTGCTCACTTTTATTTGAATTGAAAAGTATATTCAAAACTTCATTTGAATTTGCATTTGGTTCATATTTAAATTTGGTTTGAAAATGAAAAAAATAGAAAGAAAATTTGGAAAAGTTTTTTTCATTTCTCTCCCCTCCTATTCAGACCAAAGCCTGCTGTCGGCCTGCTTCTTCTCTCTGTTGAGCCAGCCTAGCTCTCCATTTCCTTCTTCCTCCCGGCCCACTGCTCCTTCTCATCCCTCTCTTTTTCTTCTGCTGGCCCAGCTCGGCTTCCCTTCCCGCGGCCCGTTCCAGCTTCGTCCGCGTGGCCCATTTCCCGCGTCGGCCTAGTCCCGCAGCGGCCCAGCTTCGTAGCCCAGCAGCCGCGCCGCACGTCTCTCCTCTCTCCCTTTGTCTCTCTGACCGCCCGTCCCCACGCCCTCCATTCGTTGATAGGTGGGTCCGCCCCGTCAGGACCATCTCCCACCTTGAGCCGTCCCCGCAACGGACTCTGCTCCACCGAAGGAGTCCACTGCCTTTTCGCCCCTCGTTGTTGCCTTGCGTCACAAGTTCCTGCGTCCCATAAATAGCGAGCCCCCACGCCGTGCCGCCTACCCCACACCCTATCTAGCACCGCCTCGCCTAGATCTAGCCCTGCGCCGCCGTCCACCGTCGCCCTGCCAAGCCACATGCTAGCTCCGTCCTCTCCACGGCGCCATGGACCCGCTCTCCTCCTCGGGAAGCAGCTAGGTGAGGTTGCCGTCTTCCCCGCTATCTGCCGGTGCCCTTGCTTCGCGCTATCGTAGGCCATAGGCTCCTCCCCATGAATGCCGCCATGCCGGCCATGGCGCGCCGCCGCGTTGCCCCTATTCCGGCAGTTGGCCACCTCTGTTCCCCCTCTGATCTAACTCCGGCTCTCCAAGTTAGATCCGACTGCCTATATTCACCCATACCCCTTCGGTTGGTATATTTACTAAAGAGATCCTCTCTTTTCTACTAATCTAACCCGCAGTCCAAAGCGTAATCATAGAATACATTTTCTTCTTTTCAAAACGTAATTTCTTTCGGTTTAGATTCAAAATACGTTTTCATGTATTTACAGTTTTGCCACTAGCTTTCTTTAGACTATAACTTTGTCGTTTTAACTCTGATTTGACCCGTTCAAATTGCGTTAGGTTCGTAATTTCATAATCTACATGTTTATACTACAGTTAAATATGTTTTCAACTTTTAAAATTCGAGGTTAGATTTAATCTATTATTTTATTAAAGAAAATCTTGTTTAAATCATATCTTCTATGTTTTAATTTTGTTTTAGCCCGTTCAAGTTGCGTTGGATTCACAACAACATAAACTACGCATTAGTAACGATGTTTATCATGTCCCTATCTCTAGAATTTCATAGTTTAAACTCTAATTTGATTAATAATTATGCAACTGGATTTTATAAATAAAATATGATTTATCTTACTTTAGTTTTATGATTCAAATCTAAATTTGATTTAATTCAATTTATATTATTTATAAAATATCTTATATATAATTTTATATAGTTAAAATAAATGAAGCCTATAGTTTTGTTTTCCACGTATGAAGCAAATCTTTCGGTAGATGTATCTTTTTCACCGTAGCTCCAATTAGAGTGCTTTTCACATCTGTGTGTTCGTAGCGAGACGTAGATTCGTTTTATAAATTTTTTATCTTGATTTTATGTTTGGTGTTCTGTTCTAATTTATATCTATTGTTTGCTTTGTGTATAATTGCATGGATGCTTGTGTGGTGCTTTATGTTCATGTCCAGTCGGTGAGCTTTACGTGTTGATCAAGAAGGAGTTTCTTTGAAGTTTTGGACTCGAAGAAGAATCTAAGTTTAAGGCAAGTATAGCATAGGATGTTTCTTGTTGTCATATACACCTTTAATCATTTAATTCATGCTGTATGTGTCTACCTTGACTGTCACTAAGGATTTCCTAGTACTTTGCACTTTGTGCTTTGATACCTATAGGGTATTGCATTGGGTAATATGATGCTAATGCTCAACTACAACCATGATCTTGTAACTTGACTAATGGATTATGCAATAAACATTAAAAGATGCTTTTTAGCAACATGGAATCAAGGGGGCTAGAGCATTGGGCTACTTTATGGTGATCTAGATTTCTCTCCCTAAGGACTTATCTGTAAGTGATTATCCAGGACTTACAGTACAACTGTGAGGGCTATATGGCTCTGGTTTTAGCTCAGTATGAGGACATTTTCTAGCTTGTTAGTGGTTACCTTTATGGCGCAAGAGGGGCTCCGATTTGTTTGATCTCGGTCTGCCAAGAGGGCGCACTTTGGTTTTTTGGTATTTTGTTAGTCACTCCTTGGAGGGGGCTCATGCTTATTGATGGGAAACCTTAGCGGCCTTAACTTGTTAGACGAATCTTTGAAAGGCTTCATAGTGAATCCTGCCGACCTTCCTTGGTAGTGGGTCAAGAGGCTCGCGACCTCGGGCGAAAGGGTAAATCACGACTCACAGTGAAAGTCTACAACCTCTGCAGAGTGTAAAACTGGTATATCAGCCGTTCTTACGGTCAGAGCGGCCTTAGAACCTTTACGGCTTGTGATAAATTTGTTGCTACTCAATTGCTAAAATCATGACTCATTAAAAGCTAATTGCAGTTAATCCAGTGTCAGCCTTTTGAGCCTCATGAACCCCATGCTATATTTATTGAGTACGACATGTACTTACGCTGGCTTTATTTTTTACATATTTGGATAAAAATCTCGGATGGGTATCAGATTGCTAGAGTTTGGGGGAATTAGGCTTGTGATCAACCAGTCAGTTGTCCCTGTGGATTGGAGTCTTCGCTTGAAGATCAGAGTTGTCTTTTCGCTCTCTATACTCTGAGGTTATATTCTCTATACTAATACGCTATGTATTTAAGCATTGTCTATTGATATTACCCTTATTTATAACTATATGTGAGATTTGATTTTCTGGGCTCACATATGGTGCGTATCTGGCTTTGTTCTTAAAACCGGGTGCTACAAGTGGTTAGAGGATGAACGTAAGAAGCCTAAGGTCGTGGAATCGAGTGTTGTCGGCTGCAAGGTGTGCGAAAAGTCTTACCAGTTGTATTAAAAAATGAAGTAACTGTGTGGCTAACCGGTGGAGTCTCTCCTAGTGTTAAACAATTGCTATTTTTCAGCTCTTTTTTCATCTTGTATTTTGAGTTTTCTGAAAACCTTATCATTGTCGGTTCTAAAACCGGCAATGATGAGCCCCCTCGTCACTGCCACTTTAGTTGTGCTGGTTCAAAAACCGGCAGTGATAGTCCGTTCTGGGGTAGTGATATGAAGCTTTAACTTTATCTTTATGAACTGATGGCTAGCTTAATGATGAATTTAAAAGTGAAATTGTAATGATCAATGACGAAGATAATGTAGCTCATATAAATGCAGATATCTTCAATTGCCAAATTGGTTATTTTCCTATTCAGTATTTAGGGGTGCCTGTGAGCCCAAGAAGACTTCATGTCCTTGATTGGCTACCCCTAATGGAAAATAATCTAAAAGATTGGACATTTGGAAGGGAAGTACCATGTGCATTGCTGGAAGATCCACCTTAATCACTTCCAGTTTAAATAACAGCCCCATTTATCATATGTCTTTGTATTTTTTGCCTAAAACTGTTGCCAAAGCACTAGATAAAACTAGAAGGACTTTTTTCTGGCAAGGAGGCCATACAAAAAGAAAATACCACCTGGTCAAATGGACCAAGATATGTAAAAGAAAAAAGAAAGGTGGGCTAGGTTTAAAAGACATTAGAAAAATGAACCTTAGACTTTTGTGCAAATGGTGGTGGAAACTTGAAAAACAATAAGGTTTATGGCAAGACATTGTGAAGTTTAAGTATCTGAGAAGTGACTCAGTTTGCACTGTGAAACACAGGCAAAATGACTCACCCATCTGAGCTGACTTGCTCAAGATAAGAGAGATCTATCTTCAAAGGAAGAGTTATTGAGGTCCACAATGGATAATCAACTCTTTTTTGGCATGAGGCATGGATATATGATAAGCATTTATGCTACATACTGATCTTTTCAAATTATCTGAGCAGAAAAACATCACTCTGTTTCAAGTTAAATGTGGTGAAATACAGTTATCTTTCACTAGATGGTTCTCAATATCATTTTAAACATGGTGAAGATTTTGCTAAATGGAAATTTGGAAATAAAGGCTCTTTCTTTGTGCAATCTGTCTGTAATGAAATGACCACTAATGAGAATGGGCCCTTGTTTAAAAATATATGGAAGGGGAAGAACCCTGCCAAGATTAAAATCTTTATGTGGCTAGTGCATAACAATGCTATTTTAACTAAAGACAACTTATTGAGGAGACTATGGAAAGTTAGTCCCACTTGTTGTTTTTGTGACCAGGATGAATGCATGCATCATCTGTTGTTTTGCTGTGCTAATGCCGAAGTAATCTGGGCAACTTTTGCTATCTGTTTGGGTGCTAACGATATTCCTGCCTAACCTGAAAAATGCTGGAGTTGGTGTGTAAAAAGTGGATACCAAATGGTAAAAACTTCTTTGGAGTTGGGTTTGCTGCTATCTGGTGGGCTATCTGGAAGAATAGGACAAGATTTGCTTTGAAGGCGAAAAGTGCTCAAGAGCCCCCTTGACCTTGAGATAATTTGTCATGCGTGTGCTCTCATGTGCTCTTGGGCAGGTCTATTTTCTGAAGATGTGAAGAAGATGCTGATTGAAGGTGTCAGTGCCATGCTTAAGATTGCAATCAAACTACTGTCAATGCCGCAAGATGCTGCTGTGAGGACTAACTTCATCCAGGACGCTGGGAGAGATGGTGACGCTGATCCAGCCCTTTCTATCTGAAGTCAGGAAGAATGATCGTACTGCTGTTTGGCCTTTTGTGGGTGTTTGTTGGTCGCGAGCTGAGTGTAGTTCTAGCTTGGGTGTCTGGCAGTAGTTGAACTGTTTGCTTTTCTGTCTGCTATTCTCGTTGGCTCTGCGTAGTCGTTCTTGAACGTCTTAAACTCTTGCTGTATTTTCGTTATTCAGTAATGGAAATGAGTATGAACCCATTTTACAGCCATATATAGAGTTGTGAGTATTATTATGTTTGTCATACTTTTTTTTCTCTCCAAAACAAAAGATCTCGTTTTTATGAAATTATTAATTTTAAAGCCTCGTAATTGTTCCAAGACACCAAGCGATATGATCATCAACATATACACGATGAATCGATGATCGATTGCCCTCGTGGTTTTCTCGTCGAGTAAACCATGATTAGCATCGTATATACAAGACCATGCATCGGTACATACCTAACTGTATGATCGAGTTCGTGCGTGCTTAGTTTCTCTGTGCTCACCGATCCTAGCAACCACCGGGGAAGACCTTGGGTTCATCATCCTGTATCCGGCTGCGCGGTTCTTGCTGAAGCTCCGCAAGCCGCAGATTGGCGACGACGACACGGCCGTGCGGACCTCATCACCGTCTTCATCTCCATCTCCACTGCCATCGCCATGCTCCATGTGCCACAGGACGCCGAGGAACGCGTCGACGTCGCACGGCAGCGTAAGCGGGCCCCGCGCCGCGTGCCCGTACTCGCGCTCGGCGTCGTCGAGGAGGCGGCACAAGAGCGGGTGGGAGGCGTACTCCGCGCGCACCACGAAGCGCACCCGCTCGGGACCCACGTACACCGGGAAGCACCCGGCGACCGCCGGCGACGACCGCGCCCGTCCCGCAGTGCCGATCCGGTTCAGCCCAGACTTGCACCACTCCAGGGTTCTTGAGATCAGGCTCTTCCTGGTGGCTCCCTTGCTCGGCGCCGCCATGCCAAGGACCACCGCGCGCCTTTCGTGTGCACAGAGATGCACGAACCGAGGGAAGAGAAGATGGTGCGGAAGTAACTAGAAATTGTATACTGTCCACTATGTTCTACTACTCGATCTAGAACAAACCCTAGAAATGGGGTCATGTATATATAACATCTCTGTCGTTTACTCTACTTTTGTCTCTTCATATAAAAGGATTAATTCAGCTATCTACCATAAATAAATATATGTACATTTTAATCAGCGAACTACCATAAATCTACTAATCTAGTAGGAAATTTCAGGGAATCTTAACATCCACGCAGCAAAACTTATTGGATAGATGCAGCAAAACTGTACTCCTCCACCAGAGGTTGTTGGTTAAAGATAAACGTGCTTTTTGAGAGTTAGCACATGGATACTCTTGTATATATAGATGTGGATGTAGATGCTGATGCGCCGCCTTACCATTTATTTTTCACTGTCGTATGGATCCTTCCATTCTTCTTTTCCAGCCTCTTCTCTGATTGACTGTATATAGGAGTTAGCAACGGCCCGGGATAATACTGAAACAGCACACACATTCAGATTGAGAAAAGTTTGACACACTGCTAGCTTAGTAGCTTTCACATCTTTTGGACACGAAAATGACACCCGTCGAGTAACTGATCAGCACCTCATTTCTTGAAGGGTTCGTATAGCTAGTAGTTCCGCATTGTCCTCACGTTGTCCTTCAGGTAACAATTGCTGGCAGTCCGATGCGGATGCAGAATTGCAGATGACGCCTGGCCAGAGAGCCAGAAGGTGCTTATGGTGTAGGCGATGGCTGGTGATCGAATGGAATGGATCACATCTGCTGCTGTTTTTTTTTAATAATGTCTTCTGCTGAATTATTCCCAAAATAAAAAAAGAACAATAGCATTGTCTACGTGAAAGGATTAGTTGACCTAAACAGTTCCATCTCATTATTATGAGCAAAGAATTAGCTTATCAGTTATCACCAAAGTAAACACCTACCGGTAGCTTATGAAAACCAAAGTATTTCATAATAAAATCACAAGTTTTACTCTGGTCTCTATTCATCGTTAGAGATTAGACAGTAAAAAAATAGGAATATCTGTATAATTTGCAGCCTAGCTGGTTTGTCAGTAATAGTAAGCTAAAAAATATTAGTTTACCGTAAATTGATGCAAGATATGCATAATCATACAATTTTCAATAGGTTTCCTAAAATATTATCAAGAACGCCACTCCACCTATAATCGTATTTCTATTATATGCATGTATGATGATGTCTCACTTGACCTCTTTAGCTAAATAAATTTGTGTACCACATTAGTTAGCTAATATATCATTAATAAAATAATCAAATGTACTCAAATTTAAATATATTATAAGATTTTTCTGCTAAGGATATTATAATACATGTATACGAGTAAAGAGACTTAATTTGCTTGTTTCTCTCTTGATTTACGTGTCTCACTTGACTTGTCTAACTAAATGTTTATGACTCACTAGCTAAAGATGTCCTTGGCTGCATCTTCCGCTAGATACCGCCCATTCTTCAGGAAAAAAGTTACCAGTAGATATTCAAAGAGAGAGTAAAGAATGGTGCATGATTAGCATGTAGTCAGCGATTTGATGGTGTGATTATTCTATATGCGCGTACAGCAAACATTAGCACTGTGCATATCCCCTCTATGAACACACCTGATAGGATCCCTCACGCCAAACCAAACAACATCTCTCCCACCAAATAAAAGCAACTACAACCTCTATCTGTAATAATGCAATTGCGCTAGCGCTAACTCCCTCGGTCCCAAAATAAATCAATTTTTAGAACTACCTTAAGTTAAACTTTCTTAAATTTGGCCAAATTTATAGAAAAAGGTAACAACATCTATGACACCAAATAAATGGATTATGAAAATATATTTCATTATGTATCTAGTAATACTGTTTGGTGTCATAAATAGATGTGTGCTCTTTTCTATAAATTTAGTGAAACTTAAAATAGTTTGACTTAGGACAACTAAATTAATTTAGTTAGGGACAGAGGGTAGTTTCTGGAAATGGATTCAGAAACCATTTGAAGCTTATCGTTGAAAAAGAAATATACCGAACAAAATGAAATTCATAAAAGTTATGTTTCTATGAAGTTTATCTTAAAAATAAGAACTCATAGTGCATTGCCGCCTTTGTTAATGTGATTAACAGTAACGGACTATCTAGCCGTTTCTGGAAATGGCTCATTGATAGATACTATTTCGCAAGGCCGCCTGCTTTTGGAATTGCAAAATGACCTTATGAGAAAATGCAATTCATGGTAATGTCAGTAACATACATCTGAGTATCTGACGCAGTGTGAAATTTCAATTATGACTCTTGTCAAGTTTTAGTCCCTTCATTGGCACAAATAAGGAAGTATTCGCCTAAAGGTAATTGAGGATGGCGGTAATTGGATCTCTAGTTTAGTATCACAAACCTGCAAGTTATGTGTGTAGTCAAATATGACAGACACACATAAAAAAGGCAAAAGCTTCTTACCGCACGCCCACCCACTCTCTCAGACGCGTCCCTCCCTCTCTTCTTCCCCACCACGTCCCTCCCTCTCTTCTTCCTCACTAAACAAGCGGTAGGGTTCCAGCGACGGCGGCTAGTTCAGTGCCTGCGAGGTGTGTCCTCCTCCTCCCGCATCAAGCATCTGGGAGTTAGGGTTCCAGCGGGCTTCTCCCCTCTTTCTCTCTCTCTCTCCCTCTCATCTTCCCCAACTCTGGCGGGCTTAGAAGAGAAGGGGAGGCAGACCGGCTAGGCGGTGGGGACGACGGGAGGTCATGGCTGGAGCTCACGACAGCATGTGGAAGGGGGGAGGGGAAGAAGGAGGTCGCCGCGGGCGGTAGGGTCTCGTTGGAGCTCCACGGCCGCGGAGCTCTGGCGAGACCCTAACGCCCGCGACGGGGTGGTGGGTGGAGGGCACGCGCGGAGGAAGAAGGCAAGGAGGGCTGGGTCGAGGAGGTGTGCATTTCACGAGGACAGCCGTCCGTTAGCCGCGTCCACAAAAAAGTGATGATCCTAGTTTGACATCGTTAAAAAAAGGTGGTCACTAAGTAAGTTTTGTTTACAAAGTATGTGTACAAATAATAATAACCTGCATGTAAAAAAGATCTATGGATGGGTCCGGCGTAATGGATTTTCTCCACTTGTGTCCTAGAGAGTAAAGAGTAGTAGTTAAATCTCAGATGCAGAATAGAAGATTCTGCTAGTTAATTATTTATCTATATATATATATATATATATATTCCAATTCTTTGATTTATGTCACTAACTTTTGTACAGCAAGGAGGTCTTGCCGTAGACATGTCTTGTCAGAAAAGCCATATGCATGAACAGACATCAGAGACATGCCATGCTACTCAACGGAAAGTCTAAAGCATCCCTACGCTTCCTTTGCCTTCCCATGTTGGTAGTCTAAAACTGATTATTACAAATATACACACAAGACAAGCTGTAGCCAGATCACCTTGGCCCCAAGAGTTCAATGGCTTGCAGCTCGATCGAAGTATACTGGTCTTCATTATCATAATTTATACCAATTGACACAAATTCTGATGACCAGTCGGGGTTTGGGTTCTTAATATTTTTCACGGCCTCCCATTTTTTCTGCAACCCCATCTCCTCCTACCAGCATCTTAACAATTTCAGACATCTTGGGGCGGTAGCAAGGACTGTACATTGTGCAAAGCAAAGCAATCTGAACCATCTCCTCCAATTCAGCACTATCGTAATTGCTTCCTAGCTTCCGGTCCACAAACATGCTTAGCTGACTTTGTTCCGGAAGTTCTTTGGCCTGAAACATGAAGGCACAACTGTGTGGAAACGGAAGTTCATGGTATTTGAATGAACAAAAGAAACACAATTGGCAAAAACAAAGTCCTTTTGGAATTTTTTTTTTGAAATTCTTGGAGTGGCACAGCCACGCAAATTCGATCTAGATCCTAGTTGTTATTGCCTTGTTACTACTCAAGTGGATACAAAACTTCCGGGAGCAATAGATTATGGTTACATTAGTATAGACATGGCCTGCACTCGAATGTTATTAGAAAGAAAAAATGACAGAAAAATAAATGTGGCGATGGCTGCTGGTTACTGCTCCAGACTAAGGCCCGGAATGAATTTACAAAAAACTATGTTTGAGAAAAGTGCATTGCAAGCTATATGCATTATTGTGGTAAACCATAATTATGTCTTCTGGAGTTGCATATTGTCTAAAGTCAAGTTAAACGGTGACACTGTTCATAAACGCATATGTTTATGTAACACCCTAAAATTTGCTTCTCTCGAAATAGAGCTAAAATGATTTAATTTTGTATTTTTATGCTCATGAAAATATAGGAAAATAAAAATTTTCATTAAATTAAAATTTATGATATGGTAGCAACTTGTTTGTGCATACATGCAGCTGCATATTTATTTTGTGATCATTGGGTTTGATCAAAACTTTAAAAGGATTTAAATTTGGAATGAATTTGGATATGAAAATTGGGTTTGAGAAATTAAAAAGGAATTTCGTTTACTTCCCCTCTCCTTCTCGGTTTCTGGCCCACGGCCTGCCCTAGCCCGGCCTCTCTCCTTCCCCTCACTCCCCGCCGGCCCAGTTTCCCTTTCGCAGCAGCCGGTCCAAGTGCTCCCTTCCGCTCCCGCGGCCCATCTGGCAGCCCAGCGCCGCGTCGCGGCTCTCTTCATCTCCTTCGGCGCAGCGCGCCGGCCCAACCCCGCGCAGGCCGCGTCCCCACCTCCTCTCCCCCTTTGTCCGTCTGACAGCCCGACCCCACGCTCTCTCTCGCTGACGACGCGACCCCACCTGTCGGACGTCTCCTTCCTCTAGCTCGAGTCTGAGCCAGCCACGCCGCCGCCTGGGAACCCTTGCTCGCCCCGTCTTCACGTCATGCCGTGCACCCCACGCCGCCTCGCCTCATAAAAGCCAAGCCCTGTGTCCACTGCCCCCATCCAGTTGCGTCGAA